CGTGCAGATCTGTCCTCGCAGAGGAGGGAGAGCTTGTACCTGAATAAAACTTGGTCTTAAAGGTGCCACTGGACTGTTTTGGACCAGGGGGCTGGGAGGGGGGCTCTGCAACTTATCTGGCTGCTTCTTGCTCTGACTGAGGGCTGCTGGGAGGAGGGGGCGGGGCTTGTTGCATGTGCCCACCCCCTGGGCGCCTTACTGCCGGAGCTCCGCTCCTGTGCGCTCCCGCAGGAAACGACCCCTGGCCTAAAGCATCCCTGTTCATCCAGCCACTGCTTGAAGACTGCCAGGGAGGGGGAAGCTCACCACCTCCCCAGGCAGCCGATTCCACTCGTGCACAACTCTGACCGTCAAGAAGTTTTTCCGAATATGCAGCCAGTACCTTCCGGCCCTTAATTTAAACCCCTTCTCGCGCGTCCTCTCCTCTGCTGCCGGCAGGAATAGCTCCCTGCCCTCCGCTAAGCGACAGCCCTTCAAAGACTTCAAGAGAGCAAAATTACTTAAAGAGATTTCATCTAGACTCTATGGTATGCCATAGAGTTTGGACTCGGCAACTACCATTTCCTCCGGGGAAACTGCTCGCGGCGCTCTGGAGATGAGTTGTCATTCCAGGAGCACCCCAGGCCAATGTTCCCTCTAAGCTATGGAACCCTGTGAGCAAAAATTCTACTTTGTAAGCTATTGGCATTAAAGTTGTGAGCAGGTGATTTGGATGCTGCATAAGTTAGTTTGCTCTGGAGCCCTCCTTCCTGAGCTAAGACAAAAAGGTGTGGGCCAGAGGCTAAAAAACTGTGAGCTAGCTCACACTAACTCATCTTAGAGGGAACACTGCCCAAGGCCCCACCTGGAGTTTGGCAACCCAAGAGTCACGCCTCCTTTCCAGGGGGTTTGCTCCAGAACCTCAAATTTCTGTTTATGCCAAAGGTGGAGTTTGTTAACAAAGGGGCACCCCTCCCGCGCGAAATCCTCAATCCGCAGACTGGCAGGGTGGAACCCCTCTTGCTGCCTCATTCTCTCGTCGCATGTAAATCAGGCCTCACTCCGGAGTAAGTGCACGCGAGATTGCAGCGTGAAGAGGCAGTTGCTGCCTGGTTTGATCTTCTGCCTGTGTCAGGAGGAATGCAGCTCTACCGCAGTTGCTCCGGGGAGGCACTTCCTTTTAGAACAGCCCTGACACAGCTGCTGATTCAGCAAAACGAAAACCCCCCTCCGGCCAAAGCGGCAACCCACGGTGCCCCGCAGACAAATCATCTGCCGGCCTCTAGCAAAAAAAGGGGGGGGGATTGTGGTCATGATGCTTGGAAGCTCTTGGGAAGGATCCAGAGCTCTGGACTGAGTGGTCAACGGCTTTCAAAGTGACGGGAAGAAGAACCTCCACGGGGCCAAGAAGATCGGGAGAGCTCCGTCCTTGCAGGCTTGTCCGGGGCTTAATCTGCGGCCAAGCAGGCTGCCTGGTCTAGGCCTCCGAACCTGGTTTCCAAAACAGAGGCCTGAGGCCTGTGTTTAATAGAAGAAGCCCTAGCCTCTGAGCACACGCAGAGTGTTTTCCAGAAACGGATAAAACAAGTCGCCCCCATGCATCTGGAATGCGGAGGCAGCTCAAGTTGCCAGCTGGGCGGGGAGACAGAAAGACCTAGGCCTGTCCTTCTTCTGTGCTTCTGGCAAAGGCCTGATCCGATGCTGAAAGCCGGAAGCTTTTCACAGCATGTTGAGAGCCACCGTGGTACAGAGCAACAGATTAGGATCCGGGGGGGTGGACCAAGGTTCGAATCCCCACTCTACCACAGAATCCGGCTGGGTGACCTGGGGCCACTGTCACTCTCTGTCTAACCTACCTCAGCCTGACACTTTAACCACCATGTGGGACTTGAGAGGGGCTTTTCTCCCCCTCCCCCAAGACGCAGCCCCTCCATCTTATCACACGTTCGGCCTACTTCGCAGGGCTCCCGTAACAATTCCTGAGATAACGAACGCGAAGTTCCCTGAACACTCGAAGGTAAAGCTAAAGGTTTCCCTTGCTCGAGAGCCAGTCGAATCCGACTCTAGGGACGCGGTGCTCATCTCCGTTCCCAAGCCGAAGAGCCAGCGCTGTCCGAAGACGTTTCCGTGGTCATGCGGCTGGCATGACTAGACGCCGAGGCGCACGGAACGCTGTTCCCTTCCCACCGAAGCGGTACCTATTTATCTACTTGCAATGTATTGCTTTCGAACTGCTAGGTTGGCAGGAGCTGGGGCCAGAGGCGGGAGCTTGCTCCGTCATGCGGCACACTCGGGTCTCGAACTGCCGAGCTACCGACCTTCCGGTCCGCAGCTCGGCGTCTTAACCACAAAGCCACCGCGGCCCCCGAACGCTCAAAAGCACTGTGTAAACACTGGCTCTTTTAGGATCTCCCCCCCACACACACACCATGAGTGGCGAAATCCATGCGCAGCACACACACACGCACAAACAGCCCCCTTACCACCGAACGGCAAGTTGGCAACCTTTGCTCGGCCTGTTCCCACGCTTGGAGCAGCCCCCACCCCACCCGAGGCATCAGGGAACAGCCACCTCCATAGAAAAGGGGACAAAAGGGGCCGCCGGCCAGGGACAAGCCGGGCTTTCAGAGACGACGAACAAGGACGTGAAAAGCCGGGGGAAAGAGAGGGGGGCTCGTGAAAGGAGGCCGGGCAGAGAGCGAGAAGGGTGTGTGTGTTTCCCATCCATTCACGGTCTTCCCCCTTTTAGCCCCCCTCTTGCCTGGCCTTCCAGAAAAGTAGAGCAGGACGGCTGGGGGAAGCGGAATTCCCTCTTCGCAGCCAGCAGAACGTAGAGAGAAAACAAAGGACGGTTTGGGCTCGGCCGTCCAGACAGCAAAAGGAGACGCGAGTTTCAGAAACCAATTTTCGCCTGAGCGCCCGTCACCTCCTTTCCAGAGTCGGTCCAAGCCGAGTGAAAGGAAAGCGGGGGGGTGCCTCTGAGCACGTGCAGAGTACATGGTTTTAGCCAAGTGAGTAATCCCCAGCTACCCAATGGAGCAAAAGGTCTGATCCAGTAGAAGAAGGAGAGAAGAGATTGGATTTATACCCTGCCCTTCACCACCGGAAGGTGTCTCAGAGCGGCTTACAGACTCCTTTCCCTTCCCCTCCCCACAACAGACACCCTGTGAGTTAGGTGGGGCTGAGAGAGCTCTTGACAGAAACGGCTCTTTTTCAAGCACAGCTCTGATCAGAACTACGGCTTGCCCAAGGTCATCCAGCCAGGTGCAAGTGGAGGAGTGGGGAATCAAACCCGGTTCTCCCAGATTAGAGTCCGCGCACTCAACCACAACACCAAACACCTCCATCCCTTCAAGAAGAGAAGAGATTGTATTTATAGCCCGTCTCAGAGCGGCTCACAATCTCCTTTCCCTTCCCCTCCCCACAACAGACACCCTGTGAGGCAGGTGGGGGCTGAGAGAGCTCTGGGAGAACTTGTGACTGACCCAAGGTCACCCAGCTGGCTTCATGTGGAGGAGGAGTGGGGAATCAAACCCGGTTCTCCCAGATCAGAGTCCTTCCACTCTTAACCACTCCAGCACATCGGCACATGATAATGCTAGGACAAATTGGAAGGCAGCAGGAAAAGCGGAAGGCCCGACAGGAGAGGGATCAACTCCATCAGGGAAGCCACAGCCTTCACCTCGCAAGACCTGAGCAAGACTGTTCACGACAGGACGTTTTGGAGGACATTAATTCATGCGGTCTCCGTAAGTCAGAATGGTCTTGACCAGGGCTTTTTGTAGAAAAAACCCAGCAGGAACTCATTAGCATAATAGGCCACACCCAACAGCAGAAACACATTAGCATATTAGGCCACACCCCGACAGCACCGCTCATTAGCACATTAGGCCACACCTCCATGTTACCAGAAGTGTGGTCATCCAGCCACACCCACCTTTTGCTTCTTATTCTGTTTACCTTGTTTCCAGGGCTCTTTTTGTAGCAGGAACCTCTTTGCATGTTAGGCCACACACCCCTAATTGTAGCCAGTCCTGATGAGTTTCTGCCGTTGGGTGTGGCCTATTATGCTAATGCGTTCCTGCTGGGCGTGGCCAACTTGGGAACAAGCCGGAACTCCGTTCCTGTGCGTTCCTGCCCAAAAATAGCCCTGGCACTGACGGCACATAACACTCAACATGTCTTGTTCCTTGCTCAGTGCTCTGACTGCTACACCATCCTGCCTCTCTCGCATACCCTTCGGGAAGTCCAGTTTCCTGCCCAAAGCAGCCCGACGGCATCTGGTGCCACTCACCTCTCACGGCCAGTACCGAAGGGGTCCGTGATAGAGGGTCCCCCAGGGAGTTGAGAGGAACGCTGTCTTGCAGCCAAATCACCTGCACCGGCTCCGGTGGTCCCTGCGCCCCGCAGGTGAGGTTGAAAGGAGTCCCGGCCGTCACCTCCATGTCTTCGGGTTCGTCGGCGAAGAAGGGGAGACCTGGGAGCAAAGAAGAACAAGGGGATCAGACAGAGAGCCAGTTTGGCGTAGTGGTTAGAAGCGCAGTCTCTAATCTGGGAGAACCGGGTTCGATCCCCCACTCCTCCACGTGCAGCTGCTGGTGTGACCTTGGGTCAGTCACAAGTTCTCTCAGAGCTGACCTCTCCGGAGCAGTCCTCAAAGGAGCTCTCTCAGCCCCACCTGCCTCACAGGGTGTCCGTTGTGGGGAGGGGAAGGGGAAGGAGACTGTAAGCCGCTCCGAGACTCCTTCAGGTAGTGACGGGCGAGGTATCAATCCAATCTCCTCTTCTTATTCACGTTCGCAATGAATTGCCATTCTTCCCTTGGATCCAGAGGAGACGTTTCCACAGGGGCAAGGATTTCCATCTGTGGAGTGCAATCGTCTCGGCTCATGCCCCCGGCTCGGGTTGCCAGCTCCAGGCTGGGAAATTCCTGGAGATTTGGGAGCTGAACCCAGAAGGCAGGATTTGAGGAAGACTCCAGCAAGCACCTTCAAGACTAACAAAATTTGCGGCAAGGTAGGAGCAAGGTAGGAGCCACAGAGTCCACCCTCTGAAGCAGCCATTTTCTTAGGGCTCCCAACCTCCAGGTGGCACCTGGAGATCCACTGCTATTACGGTTGATCTCTAGATCTAGTTCCCCTGGAGAAAATGGCTGTTTTGGAGGGTGGACTTTATGGCATTGTACCCTGCTGAGTTCCTTCCCCTCCCCAAACCTCACCCTACGGAGGCTCCACCTACCCCCCAAATCTCCATATTTTCAGACATTTTCTCCAGGGGAACTGATTTCTGCCGCCTGGATATCAGATCCAATTCTAAGAGCTCAATTCTAAGAGCTCTCCAGGTCCCACCTGGAGGCTATATACAAATATATATATCGCCGTGCACAATAAATATGGAGCTGAGGTGGCTCAAGTGGTTAAGACGCTGAACTGCAGGCTGGGGAAGGTCGGTCGTTCAGCAGTTCGAGACCCGAGTGTGCCGCAGGACGGGGTGAGCTCCCGTCTCTAGTGCCAGCTCCTGCCAACCTAGCAGTTCGAAAGCAAGAAATTGCAAGTAGATAAATAGGGACCACTTTGGTGGGAAGGAAACAGCGCTCCGTGCGCCTTGGTGTTTAGTCATGCCGGCCACATGACCACGGAAACGTCTTCGGACAGCGCTGGCTCTTCGGCTTGGAAACAGAGATGAGCACCGCAGCCCTAGAGTCGGACTCGACTGGCTTTCGAGCAAGGGAGACCTTTACCTTTACCTTTACAATAAATATAATTTTCTGGTGGAACAATTTCGTGCTTTATTCTTTTTCTTTTTATATTTTCCAATACTGTTGTCTAAATATTGGTATCAAAATATTATCAAAGATATATTTCACCCAGACAATACATAGAGAAAAATATGTTTCACCCAAACAATACATCGAGTGCAGGTTTACATTCAGACAGCTTCCTTGTCAGTGTCACGATCACTAGTCCCACGGGACTCTAGTAATTTACCCATTTCGAATTAATCTTTTTCAAGGACCGTGATGTATATATAAAGGACATGAGGCGTAAGAATTTTTCTTTGTGAGCCCAAAAGCTCTCAACATTGCAACATTGTCTAGGGTCCAATCAGAACTGAAATAAACAAAAATATTAATAAAGGTAAAGGTTCCCTTGCTCTAAAGCCAGTCGAATTCGACTCTAGGGTTGAGGTGCTCATCTCCGTTTCAAAGCCGAAGAGCCAGCGCTGTCCGAAGACGTTTCCATGGTCATGTGACTAAAAACCAAGGTGCACGGAACGCTGTTCCCTTCCCACCGAAGTGGTACCTATTTATCTACTTGCAGTTTCTTGCTTTCGAACTGCTAGGTTGGCAGGAGCTGGAACTAGAGACGGGAGCTCACTCCGTCATGCGGCACACTCGGGTCTCGAACTGCTGAGCGACCGACCTTCCACAGTCTGCAGTTCAGCGTCTTAACCACTTGAGACACCGCAGCTCAATATTAATATTAATACATCAATACAATTTCATTCCACCTCATTTATAATTATTAAAATTGTAAAAGGAGCTCACTGACCCGCAAGGGTAAGGTGGAATGAAATTGTATTTGATGTATTTGTGTCTCTAAGACTCCCTAGTCGAACACCAACAGTTGTTTGGCACGGACTCACTGATGGCCTTGAGAAAAATCCACTGCAAGCGGCTTGGCGCATTCCTAACAGAACAAAACAGGGCAGAAATGTTTCCAGTCCCCCCCCCCCCGATTTCCAGATTTATAACAGAAGGAAGCGTTATGTTCAAGGGAATCAAATCCAGGCCTGCGCTGTCCTGAATAGCATAAGCCAGCCCGATCTTATCAGTTCTCAGAAGCCAAGCAGGATTGGCCCTGGTTAATATTTGGATGGGAGACCACCGAGGACGTCCAGGATCTCTATGCGGAGTCAGGCCTTGGCAAAACCACCTCTGTTCATCCGCTCTGACATGGATGGCCCATGGTAGCCTGCTCCTGTCAGATTTCAGAAGCTAAGCAGGGTCAGGCCTGGTTAGTACTTGGATGGGAGACCGCTGAGGAAGTTCAGGATCTCTATGCAGAGTCGGGCAGTGGCAAAACCGCCTCTGTTCGTCTGCTCTGACATGGATAGCCCCAGCAATGGCACACTGAACGTCTCTTGCCTTAAAAACCCCAAGGAGGTCATCATAAGGAGTGTTGCCAACCTCCTGGTGGGGGCTGGAGATCTCCAGAGATCACAAGTGGTCTCTGTTGGTTCCCAACAGTTTCTTATCTAACAAAAATGATGTTCTCCCCAAAAACAAATTTTATCACGATCTTATTTACTTTTGACTTGCCTGATGTATACGAGCAATGAGTACTTATGTCTTTCTGGGGACGCCTGCTCTTTGCGGTTAAAAACATTGTAGGCTGGTTTGAAATACTGACTGTTTGTGCATATCTGATCTCAATGTTCCCTCTAAGTCGTGGAGTCTTGTGAGCAAAAATTCTACTTGGTGAGCTACTGGCATTGAAGTTGTGAGCAAGAGATTTGGCTGCTACATGAATTAGTTTGCTCGGGAGCCCTCCTTCCTGAGCTGAGGCAAAAAAATGTGTCAGCCGGAGGCTAAAAGACTGCGAGCTAGCTCACACTAACTCAGCTTAGAGGGAACACTGATTACCACTCTGTTTCCAATCTATATTGTACTTGTTTTTATGCTTCCGGAGAGATCCTGCCGTCCCCTATTTGGAACTGTTGCTATGTCTATTTTTTGTTTGGTTATGTTTTGTCTGTTGAAAAAATTGTTAATAAAAATAAATTTTAAAAAACAACAACTGATATCCAGAGGACAGAAATCAGTTCCCTTTGGAAGGTGGTCTCTACGGCGTTGTGCCACATAGAGATGGGAAGGCCCAGAAAAAAACCAGAAAAATTCGGGGGGAAAACGGTTTTTTCCTGAAGCCTTTTTGTTTTTTTCCGAAAAATTGGAAAAAGAAAAGAAAAAAAATGATTATGGAACGTTTTATTTTAACATGATGAATAAAATATTTTAAGACAAGGTGTTCAAATATTTTCCAAATCATTTCACATATCAGATTGATCTAATTTCTGTGCACTGAAGGCAAGCAAGTCCTAGGTTACAAACTGAACTCTCCAATGCAAGAACAAGATGCATTTCTTCCTTTAGGAGGTGCTATTGTCAGAAGAAAATAAAAAGGTTTCAGTTTTGTTTTTGCAAGTGGGTGGGTATTCTGTTTGTAATAATTGTTTTGGATACACTATATTTTTAATATCCTAGTTGTGATAATTTCATGCCAAGTAAAAATGTCCAGTCATATTTTATGTTCCTAAAGTAACAGAATGACTTTCAATCTAGAATCTAGAAAAGACAAATGTAGCATTTCTTTCAATTTTTCCGAAAATTTCCATTTCCCCCCGAAAAAAACCGGGGTTTTTTCCGAGGTTCAAAATTTCCGGAAATTTTACATCTCTAGTGCCACAAGCCCCTCCCCTTCCTAGGCTCCACCCACCCCACGTATTTCCCAAGTGGGAGTTGGCAACCCGAGCCATCAGTCAGATGTGACTCAATGGCACCTTCCAGCCGGGTCTTAATTTAAGCGAGGGGGTGGTCTGAAACTTGTTCTGAGTGCCTCGGCTCAGGCACGGACTACTGGCAGCGGAGACAAGAGTGCCTCTGAGCCTGGACCCAATAGAGAGTTTGGGAGCGGAAATAAAAGCGAAATGAAATTAATACCATTCTCAAAGTTGGGGACCTCCAAGGCATGAAAGGAAGAGGATTTATAGTGCATGAACTGAGTGTGTTAACAGCAACCCGAAGGAGGATTTAACAAGCCGGAAGTAGAAGACAACAGAGGAAGCCCCTTCACGTCAGCGATAGTAAAGGTGCCCAGCACGCAAAGAAGCGGTTCTGACTGTGTCCAGAAGAGATTTTTCTTTTTTTTATTAACAGAAACTCAAGGGAACTCAAGGGAACATTAACAGAAATTCAAGGGAACATTACTAACATATTAACAGAGAATTATATGTGACTGAACTAAGAAAAGAAGTTTGACAACACACAGAAGAAGCCCAAGAAGATTAATTGGACATTACTAACAGTTTAATTTACCAGTTTATATATCACTCAGCTTTCTCTTTCTCCCGCTGTCTACCCTTCCCTTTTTTTCTTTTAAGCGAAATACCTCCCCTTTTTAGGGGAGCTAATAAAATCTTTACAAAAAAAAAAAAAGAGTGCCTCTGAGCCCGTGCAGCATTCAAAGGATTTACCTTCCAGTCCCAAATACGCGCTGTCGGAGAAGACGTCAGACCCGTTCACCGTCACCGCGCACTGGTAATTCCCCATGTCCGAAAGCTGCACAGAAGGGATGCTGGTGGGGGAGGAGAGAAGAGAAGAGAAGAGTCACGCAAACTCCCGAAGACGCTCTAATGTCCGGGCTGAGGAGGGAACCGGAATGAGGAATCCCTCTTTCCAGAGGTGTACGGAATCCTGCGGCAGGCGCATTGGCGCACAGAAAAGCGACCGGCTCCGTGCCCGAATTATAAGAGCAGACAAAGGGAAGGCTAGCACCTGCTCACAGGGTTGCCAGCCTCCAGGTGAGGCCTGGAGATCTCCCGGAATTGCCACTGAGCTTAGACTGGCAGTGGCTCTCCAGGGTCTCAGGCGCGGGTCTTTCCCATCCCCTCCTACCTGATCCTTTCAACTGGAGATGCCGGGGATCGAACCTGGGACTTTCTGCATGCCAAGCAGACGCTCTGCCACTGAGCTACAGCCCCACTTCATGGCTCTCCAGGGTCTCAGGGGGATGTCTTTCCCATCACCTCCTGCCTGGCCCTTTTAACTGGAGATGCCGGGGATCGAACCTGGGACCTTCTGCATGCTAAGCAGAAACTGTTGTACTGAGCCACAGCCCCACTTCATGGCTCTCCAGGGTCACAGGGGGAGGGGGTCTTTCCCATCCCCTCCTACCTGATCCTTTTAACTGCAGATGCCGGGGATTGAACCTGGGACTTCTACATGCCAAGCAGATGCTGAGAGCCATCGTGGTGTAGAGGTTAGGAATGGCAGACTCTAACCCGGAGAACTGGTTTCTGAGCCAGTTTGTGTATTTGGTTAAGAGCACGGGCTCTAATCTGGGACAACAGGGTTTGATTCCCCACTCCTCCACATGCAGCCAGCTGGGTGACCTTGGGCCAGTCACAAGTTCTCTCAGAGCTGTTCTCTCAAGGGCAGTTCTCTCAGAGCTCTCTCAGCCCCACCTACCTCACAGGGTGTCCGTTGTGGGGAGAGGAAGGGAAAGGAGATTGTCAGCTGCTCTGAGACTCCGAGTGAAGGGCGGGGTATAAATCCAATTGGTGCTCAACTGTAGCAGTTGCGTTTTGATGTTTAGAGAAAGGATTCGGCTTGAATTTTTGGCCCTTTCCTTCTGCATCGTGCCGACTTGCTACTTAGGGATTCTTGGAGGGAGGTGGTGTGGGGTTTTTGTGTGGTGTCAGCAACAGTCTAGAGGCCAACCACCCCTCTGTTTACTTACTGGTCAGGATTCCTCCATCTTGAAGGACCAGTGGCCAGTTTTTCCCCCACCAGGACCCAAAAGCCTCAGCAGACAAAACAAATGTCTCTAATCTGCTGTCTCCCTGTTTATTTTACGAAGTTTGAAAAGCTCGTTTTGTTTGTCACAGCTGCCTTTCTGCCGTTTGTCCAAGTGGAAGTTAATGGTACAACCTTAAAAAGTTTTTTTTCCCTTGAAAGCCGTTCTGGGGGAAAAAGAAATTCATTCAGCCTACGCAGCTAATGAAACAAAGTCGAAAACAGCGTGGGAACCGTGAGCCAGGAAGATCCTTTGGTTTCCAAAAAGCTGTCAGGGAAAAAAAACAGATCTTCTGAATTTCAGATACAAGATTCAGGGTAGTCCTCTGAAACCAGGACAGCACCAAGCAATTTTAAATTCAATCCACGTTTCCAGGCGCAATTGCATTGTTTACAGCGGTGCATAATCCTTAGCAACCATTTAGTATTTTTGTTTAAATATCTAAATGCTTTACATCCTTAATCTAACAACAGCCCTGGAAAGTAGGCCCAGATTGTTCGTCTCCACACTGTAGATGGATGGGCGAGTTTAAGACTAAAAGAGAACAACTGGCCACATGCTATCTGGTGGGTTCTTAACTTTCACTTGAAAAACACCAAGTTTCTAGCCTTCGTGAGTGTGAAAATTACAAGAGAAATGCCTGAAGGGATTTCAAAGGTTACTTGTTTATATTCATTTATTTCATAAGAACATAAGAGAAGCCATGTTGGATCAGGCCAATGGCCCATCCAGTCCAGCACTCTGTGTCACACAGTGGCCAAAACCCAGGTGCTATCAGGAGGTCCACCAGCAGGACCAGAACTCCAGAAGCCCTCCCACTGTGGCCCCCCAAGCACCAAGAATACAGAGCATCACTGCCCCAGACATAAGAACATAAGAGAAGCCATGTTGGATCAGGCCAATGGCCCACCCCATCCAACACTCTGTGTCACACAGTGGCCAAAACCCAGGGGCCATCAGGAGGTCCACCAGCAGGACCAGGCCTCCCAATATTGCCCCCCAAGCACCAAGAATACAGAGCATCATTTGCCCCAGACAGAGTGTTCCATCTATATTTTGTGGCTTATAGCCACTCATGGACCTCTGTTCCAGATGTTCGTTTCATTTATACCCCGCCAACAGCTTACATCCTTCTCCTCTCCTCCATTTTATCCTCACAACAACCCTGTGAGGGAGGTTAGGCTGAGAGAGTGTGACTGGCCCAGGGCAATGCTCCCTCTAACCTGTGGAGTCTTGTGAACGAAAATTCTACTTGGTAAGGTACTGGGATTAAAGTTGCGAGCAAGCGATTGGGCTGGTGAATAAATGAGTTTGCTCTGGAGCCCTCCTTCCTGAGCCAAGACAAATATGTGTGAGCCGGAGGCTAAAAAAATGTGTGAGCTGGAGGTAGCTCACACTAACTCAGCTTAGAGGGAACATGGCCCCAAGGCTACCTAGTGAGTTTCCACGGCACAGATGGAAGTTGCCAGCTTCCAGGTGGGGGATGGAATTATCCAGAAATTACAACTGGTATGCAGACAACAGAGACCATCTTGGAGAAAATGGCAGGTTTGGAGACCCCCATGGCAGGGTTGCCCAACTCTGGGTTTGGAAATACCCGGAGATTTTGGGGGTGGAGCCAAGGGAGGGCGGGGTTAGGGGAGGGACCTCAGCAGGATATAAGGCTCTAGACTCCGCCCTCCAAAGCAGCCATTTTCTCCGTCGGAACTGAACTTGGTTGTCTGGCCATCGATTGTCAAAGGGGGGGGCTCTCCAGGAGCCACCTGGATGTTGGCATCCCTACAGACTTCTATCCCATTGACTTCAATAGACCTAGAGGGGTGCAACGACGACTGAGGGGTGACATGATCGAGGTTTATAAGATTATGCATGGGATAGAGCAGGTAGAGAAAGAGGTTCTTTTCTCCCTTTCTCACAATACAAGAACTCGTGGGCACTCCATGAAATTGCTGAGCGGTCGGGTTAGAATGGATAAAAGGAAGTCCTTCTTCACCCAAAGAGTGATTAACACATGGAATTCACTGCCACAGGAAGTGGTGGCGGCTACAAGCATGGACAGCTTCAAAAGGGAATTAGATAAGCATATGGAGCAGAGGTCCATCAGTGGCTATTAGCCACAAGGTCTAGATAGGGACTCTGGGGCAAGTGAGGCTCTGTCTTCTTGGTGCTTGGGGGGGGCAACAGTGGGAGGGCTTCTTATGTCCTGGCCCCACTGATGGACCTCCTGACGGCACTGTGTGACACAGAGTGTTGGGCTGGATGGGCCTTTGGCCTGATCCAACATTGGCGTCTCTTATGTTCCTAACCTTATTTCAGACTGGACTGCCAGGGTCTCATTTTTACTGTTCCAGAGATGACCTGCAGATAGCCTTAGATTTCACATCGGAAGGAAGGCAGCATAGATATTTTAAAAATATTATTTTTTTCCCCAAATTAAGAGAACACTCTATGTGGACGACCCTGTACTGTTCTGTTACTAATCTCTCAGACGTCCATCCTTGGCATCAGTTCTAAATACCAGCCCTCCCCAAGTTCCTTCTTCGGTATCCCTGCTGTGCCAGGACTGTCAATCATGTGTAAAAAGTTCAAAGTCAGAGAACTTCGGATGTGGCCTTCCTACCCGTTTCTCCTGCTTGGAGCCTGAGTCATTGCAAACATTACTTCCTCCTGACTCACGCAGACTCATGCACGAGGGCACACACCGGTATGCACTCTCCCCCCCCCCCTCAAATGCACATGGACTCCCCCTGCCCATTCCGCATTTCCAAGAGGAAGGTGGTTAACCGTTCAGGGGAAAGATGGCAGCGTTCACTTCACGGCTGAGTCAAAGATGCAATACCCAAGTCCGCTTGGCCTGCGCTATCTGTTTCCTTCCGTCATGGGGCGAATCAAGAGTGAGTCAGAGAATCCACACTCTTTTCATGTCTTATTATTTCTCCGTATATGGGCCATTAATGAAATGGCTAGTAGTTTTCCTTGGCTCCTTGTTGGAAAGGGGTGTATCTCACTGCATTCTTACAGAGGGGAGGGATTCTGGCTCAGTGGAAGAGCATCTGCTTGGCATGCAGAAGGTCCCTGGTTCAATCCCCGGCATCTCCAGTTAAAAGGACCAGGCAGGAGATGATGGGAAAGACCTCAGCCTGAGACCCTGGAGAGCCATGAAGTGGGGTTGTAGCTTAGTGGCAGAGCCCCTGCTTGGCATTCAATCCCCGGCATCTCCAGTTAAAAGGACCAGGCAGGAGATGATGGGAAAGACCTCAGCCTGAGACCCTGGAGAGCCATGAAGTGGGGTTGTAGCTTAGTGGCAGAGCCCCTGCTTGGCATTCAATCCCCGGCATCTCCAGTTAAAAGGACCAGGCAGGAGATGATGGGAAAGACCTCAGCCTGAGACCCTGGAGAGCCATGAAGTGGGGTTGTAGCTTAGTGGCAGAGCATCTGCTTGGCATGCAGAAGGTCCCTGGTTCAATCCCCGGCATCTTCAGTTAGAAACGACCAAGTGGTCGTTGATGGGAAAAACCTCCGCCTGAAACCCTGGAGAGCCATGAAGTGGGGTTGTAGCTTAGTGGCAGAGCCCCTGCTTGGCATTCAATCCCCGGCATCTCCAGTTAAAAAGGACCAGGCAGGAGGTGATGGGAAAGTCCTCTGCCTGAGGCCCTGGAGAGCTGCTGCCAGGTTGAGTAGACAATACTGACCTTGATGGACCAAGGATCTGATTCAGTACAAGGCAGTTTCATTTTGGGAAGGCTATGACTCCATGGTACAACATGCAGAAGGTCCCT